AACGACAGGTGTTTGTTGCAGAGCACTCGCAGGTCCAGCAGTCTGTGCTGATGGAGCTGCCTTCTTGAAAGCTTCGACAGCTTGACGCACCTGAGAATTAAAGTTGTAAATACAAACTGAGAATAACGAGGAAACACAACAAAATAATCACTGACTGATTAACCCTAGCAGAAAATGAACAAAGTTCACTTTTCTCCATCAAGCAGTGTTAATAAAAACTATACCGTAAAATTTAAGATTCGATGGGTACGCACTAAAACGCAATGAAATTGACGTGATCTAGTAGTGGTAAATAAAAACTTTTAACAAAATAACAGAGGGTAATTATGCAGTTTCGGTCGTTAAATTCTTAGTCAGTGACCAAGAGTTCGGCACCTCAAATAAACTAGCAAATGAAATGATCACTAAAATGAACTGAGAAATAAAACCTTGAGATTGGGAACAATTTTATCAGCAGAAATGGACGGTTGGATACAATTCGCACCAGGGCATTTGGCATTAACGGATTCGAGTAGACGTTGCTGAACGCATTCAGCACAGAAGCTGTCACCACAACAAGTCGTTAAAACGGCATCTCGCAGCAACTGTGAGCACAATGGACACTTCAACTCTGGTGGAATAATCCTGAAAATTCAACCAATCAAATATCCTCTCAAACTGCAACAAAAATCCACTCCAACTGTTTTCTCTTCAACATTTCAATCATGCCACCGAACATTTACATATTTATGCACAAAAAAAGATCGACCGTAAGTTTATGAATAATCAGCAACAACCGTAAGTTATAAATACAAATTGAGCATAACAAAATAATTATTTTGTCGATTGTGCAGTCAAGATATTCACCTAGTATCCGGTTCTGGCGCTCTCGACAATTCGGTTTTCTTCTGTTGACGTGCTTTCCAATGCATGATTTGAACGACATATTTGCCCGATGGATGCCACATAGCCAACGGATCATCTGCAGTTGTCTCCATCAATTCGTCCATTGTGATGCCAGTCGTGCGCCGTGTATTCAACTGAAACACCACGTCAACAACACCATCCTAATAAACACTTTCATTGTCATTTCATTCAAAACTACTACTGCTTGATCAATTCCACCAGATGTGCATTTCAAATAATAACACCTTTCCTTCCTTCATTACAACAATGATGATGATATGAAGGTGATTATCATTAGAACCATTTCTTGATTTCGTAATCTTGGTATGGTGAAATCTTTCACTGTTTCAAATTAATGGTAAACAGATAAGATTCAAAAAAGCATACTTCAAATCAACATCATTTCCTTGCGTTATTCATAATGCATTTGATGCAGATACATCTGTTTTTATTTCTATTCATTAAACTAACTCTAAAAATGATCACTGCGTTTTAATGCTAAAAGAGAGCGCTTTGCTCGCGCTGTGAGACCGCTGCATTCTTATTAACATCAGTGACCAACTCATTGTTTTGATGTCTTGAAGTTTTAGCTGAAAGATTCTTTAAAGATGACTGAAAATGCGATCAATTTGGTATGAAATAAAATTAAGAACAACTTCAAATGCTTTCAGTTGGTGAATTTGCAAGATTCCAGGCAAGCTATTCTTAAACTACACATTTATCAGAATCACGCTGCTTTCTTTTCAGATCTTCAGCATTATCACTGCATTGAATTCTGATAAAAGGCAGACTATTTCAAAAGAATTGTGTGAATAAACATGCTTATTCTTATTCTATAAGGCTAACATTTGAGGGAAGCTAACTGAGATATCAAAAATAAAATAGTATTGCGATCTATAATTTTGCTACGAAATTAATTAACCTCCACCGATAGAAGCAACATTTTGTTCTTTTCAGTGGTAGACGCTGGTAGGTGAAAGAAAAACACTCGATTGATTTCATTTATCAATCAGTCACCCAACAAACAAAAATTTTTCTCAAATATGAATTTTACAACTGTTAATTTCAAAACTGGACAGATCATTTTGGAATAGAGTCCATCTAAAACCAGAAAGCGCATTTACTCCTACGGGAAGCTGTGTACGCGTCAACCACTGTACTGAACAATCTCATCATCCTCAACAATATAATGCCGTTGAAAATGAAATGAGAATAAAACGTTTCGCCGTTTAGCAGCAAAAACATACAAGAAAAGAAACGAACGTACGATGCCGAAGTCAAGCTCCTCTTAACTTCACTTTTATTCCACCGTAATGGCTATACTGAATATTTTTCATGAATAATAGACGACGAAAAAAAGAACGAATCAATGAAAGAATGAAAGACAACAGCATGTGATATGATATGACCATAAGCAGTTTAAGGTATCACTTCTTCAGTTTGCTATACAAGAGACCGAGTGCAAGCAAGTACTATTTCATGAGCAATGCATATTTACAACGAATCTGTAAATGAACCATAACTGCTGACACTTATATAATGAGATATTGAAGCGTTAGTTCATCATAAGAATTTCAACTTATAGCCAACAGCAAAGTTACAACAAAGACAGCTCCAGTTTCCGATTCGTACAAAACAATCGTTGGTGGTTAGTTATTTGGCATGAAATGAGAATGTGATAATAAGACAGAAAGAATCAACTGGGATATGAAACATTATTATCGATAAAGTGATCGATTATAATTATTTGAAAATTGTAAATCAAGAACACAACAGATGGGCAAAATTGATGGTCAGCTTTCGGTAGAATCATTTAGTGACAATAAAGCAAACCGGTTAGCTGGAAACGTTAGTGAATTGGATAAGGTGTTACCCGGAAAAACAAAGATAGCGAAGATAATATTGCAACTCCTGACCAAATAAACAATGATGAAAGACCTCACGAATTATGTACAACAAAAAAATAGAATTTGTACTGATTAACAAATTTCATCTCTACGAAAAAAAAAACGATTGAAAATCTAACAAACGTCAAAATATCGGAGATCGATCGAAATAGAAGAAATTTTACATTCGAAAGGATCACAACCCAAGAGAAGAACATGCAGAGCAAGATTTTGCTTCCTACTTCTAGTACTTCATTTCAAGGAACTTTCGGATACAACCAGTTCTTTCATCTATTCAAGCCTCAATGATACTGGTATTCCAAAATTTTCGAACAATACTTTCAGAAATGATTCAGGATTCGTTCACTGTTGGTAATTCGTTTCATATTTAGAGGCGAAATCGTCGAACTTAGCGCAATGATAGCGATTCGATCAGCAGTTCATGAACTATCAAATAAACAGAATTAATGGTGGAAACACTGCAAAAAACATTACTCATCGCAAGTGAACAACAACCAAAAAGTTTGAATTTTTCGATATGAACAACTATAACAAACGATTCTTTGATCGAAACTATACGCTAAGAGATGTGAGGATAAGACGAAAAGAAACTGCTTCAAACATCACACCCGCTGATAAAATGTTATTGGCACCTATAGATGAAACATATGTTGACTGTAACAAGACCGTAAGACTGAAAGTATTCAAAGTGAAATAATGAAGTTGGATTTTAATGTGACAGCATTTGGCGACACGCTGAATAAGTTGACAGACAGAACGCATGAAAGAAGTTGGCAAGTAAGACATCAATTGCGTTCCTTATTCCTCTTCAAGGCTTATGACTAACAAAACGATACACGTGCAGGATCAGATCCTAATCGAACAACTATTGTTTGAACATGGGAATGTTTCACATCGTGGAACTGTTGACAAAGCTTGTTTTTGCTTGAGATTTCAACATAAATACTAGATAGCACGACTTAGTTTTTCATGTTCAGAACACTCGAGAAGGTATGCACCGTTGGAGGTTTGATAAAATGTTAGTGAAATTTTTTGACGAGTTCACTTTACTTATTCGATGGATAGTTGCTACGTGGATCGTTCCAAGCAATATCAATCCTCCTCGGAATTACCAATAATTCAGTGCATTCTCAAATGCTCATCAAAATGAAATATGCAGTGAAATTGTTGTGTGCTGGATCGCCTTTTGAAATTTACTTTTTCGCATAAATAAATGAATAAGGCGACATCAAATTTTCGGAACATTTCTTAAATATGTACAAGACAACAACTGCATGAAAGACTGAGGATGAATACAAAACTCCACAAAAAATTCACTTTCTGAGGGAAAGTTGCGCATTTATAGTCATATTGCAAGAGGATGAGATGTCAACGGAGCAAGATTAGATCGGTCAACGAATAAAAATGGCTTTATGATAACAGTAAATTGTTTCACCAGTACTGACATACATATACAAGAAAGTGTTATCACACGTACAAAAGAATGTTTATGGAATGGAATTAATAAAAAATGAAACGTTCCAATAGCCTCGGTATGATGACGTTCACACATCCAATATCGACAACAAGAAATGAATGTTCAGATGGAAGCAGCAAAATGAAGGCATAATATAAACGAATCAACAAAACAACATCTTTCGTCTGAAGGAACATAATCATTCACTCGCAACATCCATTGGTTAGAAACACTGACGAACGAAGATTCATTCGCTTCTCCTGGTCGATCACTTGAGAATTCGTTCACCGATTGGGCAAATATTTCTATGACTAGCGTTTACGTAGCTGATAGGAACCGTCAACAGAAGTGATAGAGTTCATAACGAACAAACAAATGTATCCGTAACCAGCCGCATTTCATAAGCACATGAATACCAGTGATTGAATTCAGTAACTTGATTCAGTTTGCTATGAACTCTATCCAATGAGGATAAGTACATTAGAATTGAGGTAACAAATATGATACGATTATATATAATACACGATTGAAGTACTCAAAATGAGGTGCAAAAATGAGCGAAGAAGGTGCAATCGAGTGACAGACACATGGTCACTGATCACTGATAATTAGTATGAACCATCCATATAAATGAAGAGAGAAGAGGAAAACCGGTAATAAAATTAATATTATTAAAAATAAAATTAATAACGATGGATAATAATAACGATGTTAATGTTTTGTGGCAGACTAACCACAACCGAACACAATTATTAAGATATGACAGTTACCATTGGGCAGTTTTTGTACCAATGACCCGATTGCGAGCAACGATTGCATTGATAAGTCGGTGGTGGAGGACCCCATAGAATCGACGAGGACTTCTTCTGGAAACTGAAATTCAATCCATCATTTTCATAAATCAAAAGAGTTGATGAAGTATGAGCCTAAATCTAAGCTTGCGTATTGCACCAACTACATTTCTGAATAGTATCGCTGCTGATACATGGGGTCTTTTATGTGGTCAATAAGAAACGTGTCAGAAGAAGAGACAAGTAAACGAGTACAATCAATCGGCGTGGAGAGGTTTATAATGAATACGAAAATAAGAACTCACTTGGATGGTTGGTATTTGTAAGCAGAAACTTCTTTGATATGTGCTATACGTTCTTCTTCACTCAACTGATTGAACTGCTCCTAAAAGTATATTCATTTCAACGTTCATTTCGGCTATCAAGAAAAGCGTGAAAAGATAACTGCAAGAAAATGAACATAATTTCACGAAAAGAATCATTCAATTAAAAAAATGTACAAGAACAAAGACTCGAATGCAAACAAAAACAAACCGATTCTATGTGTCCCGTGAAATTGTCGCTGGTTGTAGCAGCTTTGGTGACTATACCCGAATTGGTTGAGTCTCTACAAAAATTCACATTCATACGGTAGGATACGACTGCCGAAAGAACACTTTCAAGAGCGGAAGAACCAATTTAAAAAAAAGTGAAAATAGGATTCAAATCGAAAATAGTTTTATCGAGAGGTATAATGATAACATGTTAACACTTACTGTACTTTCGGTAATTTTGCGGCATTATCTCGCGGTGTCCTCTGAACGATCACTGACGAATTACGTGGAATAAATTCATCCGCTGTATACTGACGTTTTGTATGAGCATTTGTTAGCAAAAGATCGAAAGAATCAGCCTGTAAAGAGTACAGAAAGTTTTAAGGGATAATTTGCAAGAACTCCGTAAATCCAGGATCCAAAGGAACAAGATCGGAATCGCAATGAAACTGGCCTGATCCAATAGTGATCAAAATTTTTTGGGTAGATTTAAAGGTAACTATATACTTTATAATTTCTTAATTAAATTCAGTAATTAAGATTTCAGCACTCAGAATAACATAATACCCCGCAAAAATCGAGAAAATCCAGACGATTGAAATAGAAATGATAACGAATTCCAATTCATCTCATTAAGTCTTGACGATTTGATCTGGGGGTAGATTAAAACTTTTGGTTTAAAATTAAACAGACAGTAACGGCCCATCATCCACATTAGACAGATAATTACCATACAAAAACCTCTGATCACGCTCAGTAATTGAGACATGTCTAACAATAAGATTGCATCAGCAATTCAAGCTAATTACTTAGTACTGAAAAAACGTATTGCATTTTATGGGTGAAATCCAACTACAAAAAGGATCAATAAACATTAGTAATTGCATGCCTTGATATTTTCTTTCTCACAAATTTCTTTCTTCAAATCATTGACTGATATATGTAATCCACTGAAAATGAGTGTCTTGTACTCCAATGTTGCTTTGAACTTATAGTGAATAGAAGACATCTGAAATAAGATTCATTCAGTTCAAGCGCATCGACATTTTACGAGATATCCTTCAATACAAAATCTAGTCTATTCGGTGAGCACTCAAAACCGACGCCAATCTATCCCACAGCACGAAATCAAAGGAAAGCGAAGTTGACAAAGAATACAACTACAACGTTGTTATATAGATAAGTAATGAGCGGACAACTCTGCGCTTTTGTATATTAACTTATGCGTGCGTGCCTTATCCCTGAATGTGCTCCGGAGGCTGTATGTTATTCCCCATAAACTTCAAGCGACAAACGGGAACCTGACTCCGCAGATTAACTCTTCTTGATACTTAGCGTACAAGTTCCACACTACCGAAAACTCGTTCGCTTGCCTCACCCTACGACGAGCAAAAGGAGAGAACCGCAGGATGACTGCCGTTCGATATTACTCTATATACGTAAATGCAAACACATAAGACCTGGCGACAGAACCATATGAACATCTGTGAAAAATTAACAAAACAGCGCAATCATTTCAAGCAAATTAAGATTTCGTTGCTTCATTTCAAATAAGGACGTGCTGCATTAGAGCAGAGTTCATGACTGCACTACAAGTTATGATTTGGTTCAGCACTTGGCTCGATCTTTAGCGCAATGAAGAAGAGTGAAAGCAATAATAACACTGAGCGTATGCGATTGCAGAGTGACGAGACACGCATCGTGCTTGCTTTAGCGTTTGTCATTGCACTCATGCAGCAGCAGCAGCAGCAGCAGCAGCTACTCACCCACTGAACGCGTGCGTGCTGCTCTATGAAACGAACGGATGGATATCATATGAGTGTGATTGATGCCGCATTCCTTTCAAGCAGCTATTGCAACACTATTTCATGTTTCTTATGGAGACGTTCGAGTTGCTTAAATGAACAAAAACAAATCGTTTATGCTATCAGTGCAATGGAAGTTCTCCTCTTGGAAACTGAGGCGTTGAATTTCGTATTTGAAAGCCAACGTTGAAGATGTGTTTTTGCGTGAAGAGAACAAGAATAAATGAAATGAGATGAGCTGAAATGATGATGTCTCTATTGATTCGTAAACGAAAAAACGAACAGTCCAGATATGACCTTTACCACCAGCTTGTAACTGAATGATGCAATTCATGCACATTTACAATAAACCACTCTAATGTCTTGTCTCATTCGAATTCTTTCAACAACCTCGAAAATAAGAATTTTCCATGACTTCCACTAGATTTCAGCAAAAAAAAACTTGTTTATGAATATGTACATTGTTGAGAGGAGTCAATTAAACTGCAAAATGAATTCATTTATCCAGTCAGCAATTACAGTTTTCACTAGTCCGTGCACAGCCAACATCATTCCATTCCATTATTTACGCACCGCTAAAATGGATATCATAGCTTCAGTGGACATTAAATGATTCAGGTCATTTAATGTCCACTGAAGCTATGATATCCATAGCAGATTACCCGTATCGAATGTGATTTCTCGCATTTGTTACTCTTTTGCAGATATGTCAATACTTGTGATCTTTCTATTCCACTTAAAATGTTCCATCCTTATTCCGTTCCATGCAATACAGTAGAACAGTTCCAAAAAAGAACGCACAGAATAAAATAGAAAGAGCAGCAGTGGAGCGGAATAGAACAGAAGAGAATAAATTTTGGCTGTTCTTTCAATTGTTTTCTGTAAAGCACTGCAGTAGTTATGAGACGGCTACAATCGTGATATTATTGCTGCTATTATTATTATTTATTATTATTGTTGTTATTATTGTTATTATTATTATTATTATTATTATTGCTATTGCTGTAATTCATTCTCATTATTATTTATTCTTATTGTATTTCTTTTAAACTGCTGTATTCTACGTTTTACATTAAGTTACATCAATTCCACGAAGTAGTACATTGCTCGCAGTACAATGTCAGTAAACGAATCACATGATAATTAATTATCGCGGTTAATTCTCAGAACTGCAGAAGGCTATTGGTGAGACATTCACTCAGGAAATAATAATTAAAGGGTGCGACTCTATTTTGAATCAACACCCTGTTTCCAGAGGTTAATCGTCTATCAAAACATTATCAAAACACCCAAGAAGGAGTCTATCAAAACATTATACGCCCAATAAAAATTTATACTCAGAAGAACTGAGTCGGATTGAATAAATCAGTTTAGTTCATACTCATCACTGTAGAAAGCTGTGCGTTGGTTTCAGACCGAACTGTTGGGGCCCACCGCGCCCGAAGCAACGTTCGAGATCAGTTGGGCCCGCCAATAGCGGCAGACAAGCACATACAGGGTCATTTACATTGGTAAATTTTTTAAATCCAGAATCGAGTGGCCAATTCCCATTCGTCATAACAAATTTGCAACGAAAGTCTGAAGGTTACGGTGCCTCCGTTCTTCAAAGATGCCGTTACCAAAGCCCTGAACCCTTCGTTTTTCCCAATCAACACTGCCAAATGCTGTCAACTCTATGCGTAGACAATCTTCTTTTCTTCTCCGTTTTGCACTAAAAACACCAAAAAAAAACATGTTTCCAACTCTAATTGCCACAACTTTTATCGTGTTATTTTTCTGACCGAGGGAACAGGAACAGTACAGAATGGAATTGGGGGCACTAGAAGAGCAGAATAGGATGGAATAGAACATCTTGCCAAAAGTGTGGAATGGAAAGTACACTAGATCCATCCATCCAGCACTAAGTGAACATCACTCATTTCACTGCTATCGTATATTCACTTAAAATTCTTATGTGATTGCTTTGCAGAAGAAATCCGCGAATATCTTGTTCCGAGCATGTGTGGTATGGGATATACTTAAATCAAAAAAGCAACGGTTGAGCACTTGTATCAGCGCAGTATAGGATAGCTTATATCTGCTCTCATTGTGTAAATGAAAAACACCAGAATGAATAACCAACAGAATGAATGAGGGAAGGGACGAGATAGAAGAAGCAAGGCTGGCTGATGATAATAACGATCGATTCATGTATGTTCGTAGTGTGTGATGAATGCTTAAAGCACTTCGGCTTGTTTATAACTAAACCTGAAACGAAACGAATCACTGTTATACTCGTTGAAGGTGCTAGACTGAATATAGCACATATTGATTTGATACCATACCTCATTGATCGCTTAATCTCTTTCCACGTTATTCTCTTTTGATATTGCTTGGAATCTACTTCATTCGCTTATTTTATCTATAATTATCACTTCATTTGTGGACTAAACTAGCTCTCTTTGTCTAGTATTTCATCTAATTGTGAATATTTTCATGGAATGACGAAACAACTCGCTTTCATTAATAAAATATGAAATTAAATGACAATATTATGATTCATTCGTAATCCTCAAAGATATATTGATGGTTATTCAATTGAGTTCATCAATGAGTACTTTAAATAAGCAACAAACTTCGTAATAAGTGTATTTCATGCCTCCTTGTGTTGATGATCTTGTGCTTGGTTTAATGATGGTTTAGTTTATGAATGGAACATTATTTTTAATCGATACTTTTTCATTTTCATATCATTTATTTATATTCATACTTCTTCACCCAGCATACATGCATATCCCTTTCCATCCCACCACTGTATTTTATGCTGGTTTATTTTATAAGAAAGGTTCGGAATCAATCGCTATTACCAATCGATTTCTACGTCTTATTCTTATCTAGGCTTTAATTATTTGTATCTATAAATAACTGAATGAATAAATGAACAGATAAATAAATAAAACAAGATAAGATGTAATTACACGCTTCAAAATATTATGACTTCAACAAAAACAGTTTCTTCACTCAGCTACTGTTCAGTGCAGTTCTTTCTGTGGATTTCTGAATTCTGATATACGGACGATTCATACAATCCTCAAATCGATTTATCTTTATTTTGTATTTGTTACGGTTATGTTCATATGCATACTTCATTCAACATAACCTTTGTTATTGTAAATCGTTTCGCATTAAGGATGAAACGTTTGAATGCAATCTCAGACGAACCATTTTTCAAATGTGCTTTTATTTGTGCGTAATACAGATGTGTTCTTTTTTAAATGATTGTGAATTTATTTGCGAGGAATTTACCAGTGATCAAAATCAAGAATCCTCATGTAATGAACAAGCGAATGTTTATTTTTTTGCTTCTGTCAGTTCAAAATTTTGGTAAGTCTTGACCATATATTGTAAATGGCGTTGATTTTAAAGTACATGTGTAACTGACAATTTTAAACTGTTTTAAACTGTCTCCAACGATTAAACGAGAAACAAAAGGTGGGCAGAATATCTTGAATTAGCATTAACGGCTTAATCATCTTTCCTGAATCGTATCACCAATAAATTGCACTCGATTAGAGCACTCATAAAGTTGCATACTCCTGTGCAGCTTTTGTACTTTACATTTCGTGCTGAAGTAGTCTGCACCGACTTAGTTTATCTGTTGTAGATAAATATATTGTGATATTGTCTAAAACGCTCTATGAAGAAGCATTTAATTTTCAGCAGATTAATATGCACACAAGCATAAAAAGCGCATACCGATAGATTGATATTCCACGAATCCAATTATTCTAATGTAGGGTAGTTCAAGTCAGTGGAAAATCTTACGAAAATATTTCTAGTAAAAATATTGCAAAATATTTATTTATTCTGCTCCTTCAACATTTTCAGTTAGCAAAAATGTGACTAGTTGCGTGAGCAGTTGAATCGACAACTGTTCCAGTGGAATGATAAATGACCGTATGAAAACGAAGAAATCGTGTTGAGCGGAATCAGTGTAAAAGGCTGGAGGCACAACACAACTTCTCTTTTTGATCGATACACGTCGTCATTTGCTGAGAATGTTTGGCTGCTGAGAATCATAAAGTGTAAGAAGCATTTGAGAAATCACCCAGTCGATTCCATCCTGTTTTTGTGCAAATTGATGCTGTTTGTAATAACTTTTCAAAAAATTTCATGCTGAAATAAAAGATTTATACTGAACCGTTACTATTCGAAGACGTATTCGTTGGTAGTTCGATTGCTATTCAAGCGTTTATGATGGAAATGAGAAAAAGGAATGGAAAAACTGCTAGCAATGAATGAGGTCGGCCGCATTTTGCACAGTGAATACAAAAAAAAACAAACTGAAGAACGATATGTATGCTTAGAATTTATTAGAATACATACTGAACAATGTAAAGTAATTGATAGTGAGTAAATTATTAAATGGTTTAATTTTCATATACTCTATGTATTTTCATCATTTACTCTTACATGGAATCACATTAATCCGATAATCATTCTTGCATGTACTCATTTCCTCTTGTTCTATTAGTAATGAGTATAACAAAGTGCATATGTCGTTTACGATTAGAGCAGCAGCATCTATTTATGGTTATTCAAATGCAAATTTGAAAACATTTTTTCTTCCAGGTTCTCTTTTGATTCACTTGCTCATCCCACTGCATACTGATGGTTTCACTGAGGTCAATTATTTTTCT